TTTCCAACCCCCAAAGACAAATAAAGATCGAATTTATAAAGATACTGATAATAAAAGGCAATAATAATGAAAACTAAAAAAAAAAAAAAGTATTTGACTTATGTCAGAACCAACTTACGACGGAGTCCTTGGAACCCTGTCATGAACTGGGGGACTACCTGTACTTAACTCTTGGGTATTTCATTCAGAACCTGATCATTACTATAACTAAAATCAAATTCCTGATCCTCTTCTACATTTTATACTAGAGAGTTTGCCCTGTATTTCTGGGGAAAATCATTAACCATTGTTAAGTAAAAAATCCGTATTGCTACTTAGCTTGGAGTACCCTGCATAGAATTGCCTATGTGAGAAGCAGATGCCCTTGTGACTTGAATTTGGAGTCCTTATTAGAACTTGTTTTCTCTGTACCTAGTACCTTAATACAAATAACATGCCTCTTTCAAACAACAATCCCATTGACCTTCCTTGTACTTCAGTTAAGCTGCTCTGAAGGATGACTGCTGATTTCTTGGAAGTCCTCCTCAGGGCTTCTAAAGTAAATTTCAGCTATGTCACATACCTTGTATTTCTGCCCTGGAAAAATTCATGATTTAGTTGGGGATGATGTTAAAATACCCTGTATTGCTAGGGAACATCTGTATATCCAATTTCTTGTGATGCAATAACAGAAATGTCTTTTTTTTCTTTTTTTGATACATTTATTGCCAGCCTACCTAGAGACTGTGTAGTTACAAATTAGAAACACAGGGCTTTATCATTTTTAAATTCATTATTTGGAGCAGACTTGGATTGTCTAACCCACTTTAGGTACTGTAGTAACAGCCTCAGTAAAATACATCTGAGTATTTTTCTATATTTTATTTGTAACATTCCTGTTTATGCGGATGTTGTGCTCTTTTCAGCTTACAACTGAGGAAGCCCGTCATCATCATTAGCACTCATTCATTCAACATGAGTACTTGTTTTATCTTAGGCACTGGAGGTGAAAGCATGAATAAAACATAATGCCTACTCTGGAAAATTTCTTAGTTTACTGGGGGAGAAAGATACTTAAATACATAATTACACAGTGATGGAAAAATCACATTGATTAAGATAAGGTTGCACAACCAGTTATTATAATTGCTGTCAGTAAGTTGTACACCTATAAAAAGATGAATTGGCAAAAGTTATATGATAGATATATTCAGGTGGATGAACCCCTGAAATGACAAAAAAAGAAAAAGAGTAGCTGCTGAAGCTGCTTATGTACAGCCAAACACCTCATGCATGGGATTTGGTTCCTTGGTTTGGAGGTTTAGGGTCATGATTTCATGGTACATCCCAGTTAATTGACCTAATAACATGTTTAGTACTTCTATCTCCTACTTCGTTGCATAGTGCCTGGGGTCTTAAAAGCTTGCAGGAGGCCATCCAAGGCACAATAATTGGTATCTGTTCACCTGGAGCAACAGAAGGAGAGTCAGAAATAGGAGAAGGTTATGGAATGTGTGGCTAATTTTCTCCTTTGCTATGAGATCAGAAGAACTGGATGGTGCCTAGCTACCATTACTGAACATTTTGATTGAAGAATCCTGATCAAAAGAGGGAAAATGCAGAACAGAATTTCAAATTCTCATGAACTCTAGACTTTCTGGAGCCATGGACTGTGGATTAATCCCTGAAACTATTGCCTTGAGATAATCTTTAAACCTAAACCAAAAATACCCCCTGAAATCATCTTAAAACCAAACAGTAGTTCAGCTAACTAGTAAAAAAGGTCTGCCTTGAGCATTATGCTCTTTAAAGAACTATCTATATGGGATCAAATTGAAAACAGCAACTTGAAAGATTAGAAAGGAAACTTAGAGGGCAGTACATTTATGTTAATGAGGGAGGAACAACTCAGAAAAGGCGGGTGAGAATGGTTGCACAACTCAAAAAAATATAATCAATGTCAGTAAACTGTACATGTAGAAACTGTTGAATTGGTGTATGTTTTGCTGTATGTATTCTCAACAACAAAATAAATAAAATTTAGGAAAAAAACTAAAAAATACGTAGTTATATTTCAAAGTGATATATACTATATAACAAATATATAAACAGATTGTTACAGTAGTATGCAGAAGGGAGCAATAAGTTTGGGAGTGTGTGGTAAGGTTCCAAAGAGAAGGTGACATTTTAGCCACATCCTGAAGGATGGGTAAGAATGCCATTTGGAAAGAGAGAGAAGCAAGGGATAGACATTCCAGGATAGGGAACAGCCTATGCAAGGACCTAGAGGTATGCAGAGGCATGCTATAGAAGGAGAATATGTTCAGTGTGGCTGGAGAAAAGGGTATGTGAGGGAAAGTCACCAGTTTAGGAGTTTGATTTTTTTTCGTTTGGGCAGTAGAGAATCACTGATGAATTTTAAATTAAGGCTGACATAATCAGATTTGAGTTTGAAAACTCACAGTAGTTTGGGGCCAGAGGGAGAAAAAACAGGTGGCAGACACTAGTTTAAAAGGTGTTGTAGTTTTCCAAGTAAGAGACAATGGTTTGCACTAAGATAGTAGCAATGGAGATAGAGCTGAGTTGCTGGATAGATAGATAAGAGTTGAGAGCGTTTTCCAAGGTGTAAACAATAGGATTTTGTGATCAGTATGATATGAGAAATGTGGGGGAAGGGGGAAGGAAATCTGTCTTGGGTGACTAGATGAATGGTAAGGTTATTAACTAAGTTGGGGGAAATGTAAAAGGAAAAGCTGATGGTTCATTTTGCTTTTGTTTGTTTTGAGAAGTGAAGCAATTTTGTACAAGGTAGATTCAGCCTTTTCAGGAACATTCTAGTAGACAAGTTTGGATCTGAATCTTGAGAGACAAGTCACCATAGTAATATTTTTAAGTTCTTACTTTTTATTTTTCCATTAAAAACTAAGATTCTCAGAGGTTAACTGATCATGGTCTCAGAAAGGTGGCTGTAGAACCAAAACATAAATTCCTAAGCTTCTTACCAATCTAGCCTCAACTGAAATGGCCTTTGTTATGGATTGAATTGTGTACCCCAAAAATGTGTGTTAACTTGGCTAGGCCATGATTCCCAGTATTGTGTGATTTTCCATCATTTTTTCATCTCATGTGATTTTCCTATGTGTTGTAAATTCTTCCTCTATGATGATCAGAGACAGTTATGTTATTGAGTCAGGACTTAATCTACAAGATTAGATAGTACCTTGAATCGATTTCTTTTGAGATGTAAAAGAGAGAAGCTAACAGAGAGACGGGACCTCCTACCACCAAGAAAGCAGAGCCAGTAGCAGAGCATGTACTTTGGACTCAGGGTCCTGTGCTGAGAAGCTCCTAGACCAGGAG